TTTTTTCAACTTGTTGAGGCAGCCTTAAAGCGCTCTCTCAAGTTAATGTTGTTTAATTATGAGCAGTTTTTCAACAAATTTATTTAAGGTTTTTCCAGCAACCATAAATCACATAAATAGAAAATAGAAAAAGAAATTAAATAACATAAAAAAAACATTTTATCGTTGTTGTTTTTTTCGCTTTTAATGGACATATGTAACATGTTTTATATAATCCAATTAATCTTATTTCCATACTGTATAGACACCTTATATTGAAAAAATGTGGACCCTCCTCGCATTAAATTCATCTAGTCCGACCCAATTTGATAAATAATGTTATATGTGGTTCTCGTGTTGCATAGCATGAAGACTTCATATCCTCGGTAGGACTCTCATACCGCAACACTTATCTTTGTAAAGTGAGAAACTGACAGGATAAAATCGCTAACCTGCCTGTCAACTTGCACTGGTCCATTTCATTGACTTTTCCATAAAGGCTTTAATACGTGTGTGCTCCAAATTTAGGTGCAGCTAGCTTAATCGCCTTCTCACAAACCAGTGACAGGTACAGACCGTTAACGTTACCGTAGTTACCTCAAAAGAAAAGTGGTTGCGAGTCAGATGCCAAAGTGTGTGAGCATGCGAGCTTAAAGCAAGGCGGAGCAGTTCCCACAAACCACAACGTTAGAGGTCTGTAATATTAAAGAGATGTTTAAAAATATTTTAGGTTCATTTTGAAACTAGGACGGAACAAATTAGACTATGGTGGGCCGCCATAGTCTCGTTAATTAATGGGAAACACTGATGAGACCCTTATTAATATAACATTAAGCTAGATGTGCCCCATCAGAGAAATCATATTTTTCTTAACACCGAAAAAATATGACTGAAAATACTTACCAAATACCCTATGATTAGAAATTTTGGGTTTGAGAGGATTTTAGCAGGTGCTTCAGTCTTTTCTAATTTACAACAATGGTGATGGTAGTTAATGAGATACCTTCAAAAGGTTGTCCCATCCCACCATTACTGTTTGCTCATGCAAATGAGCCACTTGCAGAACCTCAATGATAGTCATCAACATGGTAACACAAAAATCCTCAAAATCACATTATATGCTGATGATGTTTTGTTGGTTGTCTCAAATGCAAGAACTGCAACCTGCAAAAAAAAGTCATGGTTCTTGGCTTATAACAATGGTATCTCAATTTAGTCTTCTAGTTGTTTTTTGTGGAAGCTGAGCAGCTGTGTTTGCAATTATAATTGAGTTAGTTATTTCGTTATCTAAGGAAAGCATAAGGTAATTTATGGTGCTTCGTTTCAGTGCTATGGACAGCACAGCACGTACACACGTACCCTGTAATTCGGCACAGGGCAATTCGGCAAAACAATGGTATCTCAATTTAAACTGTCTTCTAGTTGTTTGTCATGGAAGCTGAGCGGGTGTGTTTGCAATTATAATTAAGTTAGTGTTGTGAACTCAACCAGACGCACTTCAAAGAAGGTCAGATGGTGTCAAAAGAGGGAGGGAAGTTTCCCTCCCCGAGAGTTGACCTTTTCACATGTAAAACCCAGAGACATCGCCTGGTGTTTGGTAAGGACCGAAAGAGACTCAATCAGACAATGAATCGCTTAAGGATTGTGTATTCAAAGAGTCTTAGTGAACCGTAAAGGTGTCACTAAAGACAGTCCACAGGACAGGAAAGGGGGCGATCTGACCCCTTCTCCCTCCAGCAGGTCACCTCCAGCCTCAACCTGACTCTTTTCTCTCCACAGAACGGCTGAGCCATAAACCACCATTTCATTCTCTGATAACCGGTGCGATAAGCCAGGAATGCAGAGAAGAGAGACCATAAAAACCCCTGTTTCTCGAACCAAGCAAGGTTCCATTATAACTGTGTTTATTCTGTTTAAATAATAACCTTGCTAAGTGAGCAGCGGTGTTTGCCTCTGAGTTTAGTAAGTAATAACCCTGTTGTTATCCTTTAGTGATGTTTGAAGACTAGCAGACCCATAAGAAAGTCTTGGTATAATTCTCAGGTTATACTCAAGGACCTAAAGCCTTGGGCGGACAAGCAAATCTTTAGGTGGTGCGCCTAATATTCCCGGAAATATTACTTTTCATAACTGTATTAAAATTTTACGTAGCCGAGGTCTGCTACATTAGTTATTTCGTTATCTCAAGAAAGCATAAGGTCATTTCCTCTGCTTCATTTCAGTGCTATGGGCAGCACAGCACCTACACACATACTCACTTCAGCAGTTCACAGCACAAACACTCACTTGCTTAGTGGTGGGGCTTACAGTTATTATATATTTATCATATCATGATCAAACATAGATTTTTGATAGTAACAAAGGAGGTCCAGATAAAATCAAATAGGTGCTCAATCTGGGAGGTTCCAATTCCTGTTCCAGCAGGATTCAGCACAAATTAAACCCTGGTCATTTCCTCTTATTATTATATTTATCAGATATGGAGGGTGCCATGCCAGCTTGAAAGACAGCATTTTTACAACTGTTGTGACTGATGTAAGCTGAAAATAACTAATCAAGGTCTTACACAGGCAGAAATTGCATTGTGTCTGTTAATAATTCAGGTTAGTCCCAGTCATTTAAGGAGAAGACTAGCCCGGCTGAAATTTCACAGATGAGTACACTTCAGTGATGCTGCTGAGATTGTTAACTTTATTAGTAGGCTATAATTATATGAGAAATAGCCCTTTTGTTTTCTTGAGATAGTGAGATATATTGACCCGGTGCCAAAACAAGCTTTGTTATCTTGGGATAGCGGAATAATTCATTCTTATAACGAGATAACTGCATTAAAAAAGATTGGCAAGTTGCAATTGGATATTTACAAGTTTCCATAAATGTTTCACACTAAATCAAAAAGGAACAATTCTTAAAAGCACAAGCTTGTTCTGATGCTGCCCACTGTTGTTTGTCTTATTTTGGGATAGTAGCTGTTTAGAATTCCTTTGTGGGGAAGCTGTTCGAACAACTTTTAAGTCACACAAAAAGTGGTTAATTTCATGTTTGAAGTTTAGTCAGGCGAAACCTTATCCTCAAATCCTAACAAATGTGATCAGGCAAAAAAGACAATAAAAAATAAGAATCTGTTTTACATAACATTTCTTTATTGTTCCCATCTTCTTCTAAATGTACTCTTTACAATAAAGACATTTATGGATTTAAAAAGCAGGTTACTTTTTTTGTACATTGGCCATTTTTAATGGTAACTTTGATATTTTTCAACATAGTCCCTACTTTCCCATGCTTTGTGTCTAAGTTTCTAATGGCGACAACAAATTTTTGAAATTGGTCCAAAATTGAGCAAGTACACTGCAGTTAGCTGCAAAGTAATCCTTGTGGCAATTCACCCTTCGCTAAGCAACACCCTGAATATGCAAGCTGGCCAATCACAGCACAGTATAGGACTGGTTCTAACTGAGGTCAAATGCTGTTCCTGGGGCACTTGTAACAGTGACAATCACTACCCAGACAGGTTGAAAGGAGAAGTATGATTTATTCCATTTCCAAAAACCTTTCTTAAAAATTGTTTCTTATGTATTGTAAGTTAGCTAATGCTAGCTAACCTACGACTTAATGTAAAGTTGTATAGGCTAACTGCTTTCGCTTTTTATTGATTGTAATAGTGAATTTAATTGTTCCAAAACTTAGACTATATTTCTCCAGGTAGTTCAGTTATAGACAGTGGCAGCACCCCTTAATGCTGATTGTCACAAATTCGCATCAAACCTCTTCCTTTCAGAATGCAGCTCAGATAGCGTATGTATTCCCCCAATGCCTGTTTGTGCATATTCAATACGTACCTGGGAACCTTTTGCAAGCACTGGTTTTTCGTTTATGTCTGTTGTCGCTAATTTGCATCATACCTAATTTATTTTTTATTGTAAATAAATTCAGGCATCAAGGGGTTAAAGGGTATGAACCTTTTTTTTTTATTTACTTTTTTTTCAAGGGAGTCTAGTGGCTTTGAACAGAGTGATGTAAGGCTGTCTCATGTTAAACAAAGAGAAATCTTATTTTTTTACAATCGGACTATTTCTGCAGGGATGTTGTCAGACAAACAATGTGGGCCTTCCTGGAAAAATCAAGCACTTCCGTGAGGCCCAATGTCCCGCAAGGATTACTTTGCAGTCCTGTTTTGCTGACACAAAAACAAGGGAAAAAAGGTTTTAAAAATTCCCAAGCTACCTTTTAAGGGGAGATCTCTACTGAATGAATATGAAATACATATTGGTTCACACTAGCTGATCATTTCACTGCTACTTTTGTCACTTGGTGGTGCCTCGACCCATGATGGCTTTCTTTGTGTTTCTCTCTGGTCTCAACAGGATTATATAACATTTGGGTCCAAACAGTGCCACCAAGAGACCAAAACTGGAAGCCAGGATGGCAAATACCTCCACTGCGTCTGCATATTTGCCTGGAGAGTTGACATATGCAGGGACAAAGGCCACCCACACAGCACAGAAGATCAGCATGCTGAATGTGATGAGTTTGGCTTCATTGAAGTTGTCTGGAAGATTCCTTGCCAGAAATGCTAACAGGAAGCTAAGGAGAGCCAGGAGGCCAATGTAACCCAGTAACACTGCAAAACCAAGTGTGGACCCTACAGCACACTCATAAACTATCCTGTCATTGTGGTATTGAGTGTTTTTATGAGGAGCTGGTGAGAAGGAGACAATCCAGGCAGTGCAGATTGCTGCTTGGATTGATGTAAGACCCAACACAGTCCCTCTCTGCTGCATAGCACCAAACCACTTCAGACTGGCTCCACCTCCTGGCTTAGAGGCCTTGAACACAGCCAGAACCACCATGGTTTTCACGAGAATGCATGAAACACAAAGCACAAAGCTGATCCCAAATGCTGCATGTCTCAGCTGGCATGTCCACAGCCTGGGACGTCCAATAAATAGCAGTGAGCACAGGAAACAAAGTTTAAGTGACACCAAGAGCAGGAAACTCAGTTCTGAATTGTTGGCGCGTACCATGGGTGTGCTGCGATGGTAGGTAAAGATGACCAGCACAACAACACAGATAAGTGTGCCCAGCAATGAGGCGGTTGTCAAGCAGATACCCAGAGGCTCATGGTAGGAGAGGAACTCTGTTTTCTTAGGAACACAGTGGTCACGCTGGGGGCTCGACCAGAAGTCCTCTGGGCAACTGATGCACTCCATGGAATCTGAAACAAGTGTATTATTTGCATTTTTTCCTACATTTCACCCCTTCTTTTCTCTATTTCAACTACAAGGAATATCTATCACAGCAACAAGGAGATCATCCATTCCAACTATGAACACTACCACTGATGTGCAATTGTTTCTTTAGTAGTGGGCATTTGATTTCCACCTGGATACCCACAGGGGGATAGATGACTTTTAAAAAAAATATTTTATCCACAGTTGATAGAGGTAATGTTTCGATGTATTCAATAAAAATGAGGGGGTGGGCAAATCCCTTGTGATAGGACGAAATGGCTGCTTTGTACACCTTGATGGTTGAGTGCGACTGCCTCTTCTCCATCAGACCTTGCAGGAAGGAGAGAACAGATCCCACCGAACAGGCAGACAGATCCTTCTCCCTCTCAATGCATGCATCAGCGCTGAAAGCCCAACCACTTAGCTTTTTAGCAAGACATGGTGGAGACTGCCCTCGCTGCTTGGATGGTCTGTACGACCTCAGTAGATTGACCATCCTGTGTCTGCCTCTCCCTTTCAGGAGCCAGACCTGGAGAGGCTGGTCCAACACTAGCATCGCGCATATGATGCCTCACCGTGTGGCAGAGCCCCCCAGACCAGAAGTACAGGTCAGGGCTCTGTCACCATCAGCTGTGTCACTTCTACCAGAATGGCAGACAACCGTTTCCGCCTCACCTAACGGGAGCACATGTGCTCCTTGAGAAAAAGCTTAGCATAGAGCCCTGTTGTACAAATTTTAATCGTCAATGGGATTAGACTGCACAGCGTAAATTTGAATTCAATCAGACCAATTCTCTAAAGTATGGAGCCTGTAAATCGCCAAAAATGACCATTAAATCCAAAATGGCAGACTTCCTGTTGTGTGCCTGCCTGTGTGCAAAGTTTGGTGAGTTTTTGAGCATGTTTAGGCTGTCAAAAATGCAATTCATTTGCAGAAAAAATTAAAATATTTCCTTCACTTCCAATAGGGTCCTCGCATGTTTCATGCTCTGGCCCGGGCGAGGTGACCCATGTCCTGCCCGGACGAGTCCAGCCGCGCCCCCGCCAGCCACCTAGAGAGAGAGCAACCCTGCGCTATCTGCAGGGTGTGAGAAGACAGCGACCGGTGTCGTGTCTCCCAGAGCCTCAGTAGGACTTGCTGCTTGTGTTGGTGGCTCTAATATCTGCACCTTATGAGCCCCTGGAGCAGTCCTCATTGAAAATGCGATCTCTTGAACAGCCCTGCACCTTGCTCTCACCTCTGCTAAGAAGGTGAGTGAGCTGTGTGCCTGTCGGTTCACCCCAGGTGCATGCTGGTTCTTAGTGTGCACAGTGCAGCTGGATTGAGACAACACACCTCCTTTGTTCTTAAGAACATAAGGAGCATGTTCAGGTCCAGGACAATAAATCTGGATGCTTTCTACCCCCCTACCCCACTTAAGGTGCAGGGAGGTGAGAGTCCATCTGTTGTGTCCATGTGTGCTAGGCTAACGTCCTATGTAGAGCACACAGCCCCCATTCGATGCACTGGTCAGCTGTTCGTCTGTTTCAGTGATAGTACAGTCAGTAAAACCCTGTCCAAGAAGAGCCTGGCCAGCTGGCTTTGTGATTAAATCTTCCAAGCCTGTACACGGGTGGGAACAGACCCACCCTTAGCGGTGCATGCACATTCCACTCAGAAGTGTGGAAGTGTCTACGACCCTTTTTGAGCAGGGTATGTGTCGAAGAGATCTGCACAATGGCATCTTGGCTCTTACTGTGACCGTTTGTGCGTTTCTATCTCTTGGATTTCTCCTACTCGGGATCCAGCTCGCAAGTGCGACCTAGGATCTGAAAAGTGAGGATCTGGTGACTACTGGGTGTAGAGGGGGAACATACACTGGCAGTGCCTGATGTTTCAGTGAGAAGTCAGGGCAGTGCAGGTGTTAATGGTCAGGCCAAGCCCCTATCGGTCCATTCTGTCACTAGGTGATTTGGCTGGCTTGTGACTTTGGCCAGCCTGTGACTTTGGCTTGTGGTGGCTAGGGCGGAAAGTCATCGGGCTCCACCCACTGTACCCATAGAGTCCAGTAGAGGGCGGAGCCTGTGTGAGATAGAACGAAGGTTACGATATGGTAACCCTAGTTCTATAAGCAAAGGCGGAGCCCTCTAACGATAAGCCCTACCACTCTGACGCCGTCTGCTGAAGAGGCGGTCAGTTTTTGAGGCAGTAGGGACACTGCTATTCATACATCACGCACGTATCAGTAGCGACGTACAAACAAAGATGACAGAAATCTCACTTTTGATGCCCAATAGTAAAATTTTAAATTATGCCCTTTTTCCACCGCATGGTACCAGCTAGCCTTGACTCTACTTACCTTTATTGGTTTTCCATCAGGGAAAAGTTGTACGTGTACCTTCGTCAAGGTTTCAAGCCAGCTGAGTTGAGCTGAGGCAATACTATATGTGACGTGAAAATACAGCACACTAATGATTGGTCAGAGAGAATCATCACTATTCACTGCATCATCATTGCGCTGGCCTGAGTGGGCCAGCAACAGAATGTCTCGTATGTTATTTCTTAATAAATCAACTGTGTAGATTTAGAATATTTGCAGTTTTACGAAAATTGATGGTGTATTGAAAATGTGCTTAAACGTTTAAACACAGAGCCCTCTTGTCCCACAGCCACACAGACCAATTCAGCCAACGCAGCAGATGACTCCAGTAACGACAGCAGAGGAAAACACAGCTGTAAGATTTTCATATTGCAATTCTGTCTTTACATTCTGAGTAATGTTCAAACTCTTTAACTCAAATCAAGAGACAGCTGTCTTAGGGAGTCGGTAGTCCCCCATCTTGTAGTCACATGATAATTTCTCCAATCTCACCCTGGGTACTTTGCGATTCCAGGTGAATTCACTTATGTTTGTATTAAAAGCTTTAAAGGTACTATTGGGAAGATGGATGGGGAGTGATTTAAAGTAGTACTAAAATAGTAGTAGTACTAAAATGATCATTTTAATACAGCTGACTGCCAAATTAGTTTTTTTTTTAGCACAGTGTAGTTAAGTTAAAGTTAAGTAAATATGTTCTTCAAGTTGCTATCCAACTGGATACCCAAAATGTAAACCCGTTTGGAGCCCACTTAAAGGAGTCTGACTGGCACAGATTGATCAGTCAGAGGGAGTATTTTGGGGGACACATTCCTGATCACAAATTAATACTCTACAACAAATTCAATAGTTTTAAATTGATACCAACCAGTTTCATTGCTGATCATGCCCTCAGAACACGGGATGCAGTCGAAACAGCATATAGGTTGTCCCCTCTTCCTGGCCATGCGGGTACCTGGGGGGCAGCTCTCGCTGCAAACTGACCTGGGTGGCTGTGAGAGTTATGTCATAGTTATTCTAAACCATTTGATTATGTTGTGTGATACAGCACTAAGAAAAAAACACCAATAAACAAACGTAACCTTATTGGAGTCAAATTTCCAGAAGATTTTCTCTTCATCAAGTGTGAGTTCTTCACCTTTGGAAGCCGACTTTTTAACCACACCCACACTCTGAACCTTAGTTCTTCCATCAGGGAGCCACAGCCAGTTCATGATATCATATATTGGTAAGGCATCACCATTCTCATCAAATGACACTTGATCACCAAATGGTGTAGTAAAGTTGACCTTTTCCAAGTAATACATAAGCTACACATGGGAGAGATACACCAGGCTTAAAATGTACAAAGTTCTGTATTGGGTAATGTTTTTTTGTCCGAGGCTTGCTGGAATTAGTCATTCTAGTGTTCAAATGAAGTGTACAGAAGACATCAGAAATGTGATCTACAATAAGCATTAAGGCACCCTTAATGTGTCATTTGCTTGTTTGATCATTATATTACCAGAGGTTAGTTACTGTGTGACAACAGTCAAAATAAACAAAGACAATCCACTTTTTTGCTATTTCATGTCTTAAAAAAATCAGGCATACTGAAATCAATTTCCCATAATATTCTGCTCTCACAAAATGACATTCAGTAAGTACTTCAAGGTGTAGCAGCTGTATTCAAACAGGTGGTGTATAAATTGATAACACACCTGCCATGGCTCCAGTCTTTGCAAAGTGGCACAGCTGTGCCCACTGAAAGGCCCTCTCCCTGGCTCACACTGCTGTATGTCATCAAGGGCATATGCCAGAGCATATACAGCCTTGTAAACATTGTACTCAGGCCTGAGTTCTGACACATCCAAAAACTCAGTCTCCACATTCTCTAGATCTTCCTGTCCAGTGCATAATGCTCCTCCAGCTTCCACCCAACCTGCTGGAGGTGGTGCAAATCTACACTGAAATGTGTATTCCCAAAACTGCTTCTCCTGAAATGCATTAAAAATGTATGTTAACAGAAACAAAATTATTCTTGTCATCAGATTGTAAGGTTAAACTCCCAACATGTGAGGCACAACTCACCATGCTATTTTCATAGCTGTTGTGGTGTTGTTGGTGAGGATTAATTCTTGACAGAAAGTCCCTGAGTCGTGGTATTTTCCCACGACGGATAGCGATGCCCAGTGTGCCACCCAGGTATGGCATGAAGGCAGGGGTATGGAGCCCATCAACTAATGTCCAAGCTTCACTGGCAATCCACTGCAGGCCTGTCATATTCTGCTTTACCACCTGCATTCAATCAATGTTTTTTTCAGAATTGTATAAACAATTACAGTCTACTTTGTAGTGTGTAATAAATTACATGAAAACTACACAATAAGTCTCTGGTGTAATTGTTTCCTTTAGTGATAAAAGCACAGATGTAATTAAATTATTCAGAGCAAGGGGATTCATTTAAATCATTGTCTGCATATTTTAATTCAAAAACAGCTGAGTTATAGAAAAAGAATTAAAGCATAAATAACAGATTTAAATGTAGAACACAGTATAGAGACAGCCATAAATATGAGCATATATGTTGCATGTAAATTATGGGCAAGAATACATCATTTTCACACCAATTTTCTCAAATCCATAATCCAGTCTTGTGAGTTTAGATTTTTAATGTGAATTTGGTTAATTAAAAATGAATTCACAGATAGGAGTGAATGGGTAAATTTAGAGTAAAATAAAAAATATTTTATGGAGTCATGCTATGGATTCATAAATATCACTGTATTTTCAGCCCCCAACCTCTTCCATGAGTTGAATCATGTGCAGCTGATGTGCAAACACAATGACAACGTTAGCTGTGGATTTTGTCATCACGCCCACAATCCTCTTGTATTCATTTGGATCATTGCCCCAAGGCAAAATCTCTGAGTAGGCCAGGCAACCTCCACCAGACCTAGCCAAGTCATATTGAAAGGATCTGGAAACATGAAGTCCATAGTCATCATCACTGACCAGCAGACCTACCCAGGTCCAGCCAAAGTGTTTTAGAATCAGAATCATAGCACGCACCTAATTGAATACAGAGTGGAATGATTAATGTATAGGCTGAAATATTATTTTAGTGGAAATTTGTTTATACATGCATCATACTGGAATCATAGCTATTTAAAAAAACTTTTAACAGCTTTTTTACATAAACACATATAATTTCATTAATGATGGTCAGAAATTGAATGATGCTCGAAATGGCACAGAAGATTTTGGCAAGACTAATCTCAAATTTGAAAGACTTTACTTAGACATACAGTAATTATTTTGCTAATCGTGTTTCACCTGGAAAGCATCACTTGGGATTGTTCTGAAAAAGGATGGAAATCTTCGCCGATCACTCAGGCAGGAACATGTGGCAAAATAACTCACCTATAAAGAAACAAATGTAATGCACACATGTTGTGCATGTCGTGCAATGTAGCAGAGAATATTTAATTAATTTTTACAATTTATAATTCAAACACAGCAAGTCAGAACCACACAAGACATTAAATACAAGAAACTTACAATAGGCAGTTTGAATAAACCTAGAACATTAGAGGTGGCAATAGAAAGCGTTGAGAAGGGATCGCCCACAATACCGACAACTGGAGGGTTTCCTAAACAGTCCTCCTGAAGCAGAAACTGCTCCTCTTGACCACTGGCCAATGACAACGCAGCACTGAACCCAATACCAAGTGTAGCACAGTTGTCATAAAGAATGTATCCCAGGGTCACATTAGGTAGCAGATTGGAGTTCTTGTTGATCTCATCAACAGCAAAGGCCATGGTCATGGCATGCCTGAACCCTGGAGTGTCAAAGCTAACACACAAAATATCACTATTAACCACTAAAGAGTACCACAGTATAATAATACAGTATAATAATTGCCTCATGTTGTCTATTACATGAGTGTGAAACTTACCCTTGGCAGTTGGGCTGATGTGGCTCTGAGGTGAATGTCAGCTCAGGGAAAATAGAGCTATAGTGGACTTCAAACAGCCCACCAAGGATCACATCGCCAGCCTTGTGCATCCCATTAAGGTTAAACCGCCTCCGTAACTTACAAGATGGGGAAAGAGAGGAAGACTCAGAAAAGAAAAAAGAGGAACAAATTAAGAACAGATAAGCACACAATAACAAATATTTGGTAAGAAAGCACCCCATCACTGCCCTCCTCCCTTCATCCCTGGATCTAATTTTCATGGATGGATGTGTAATTTTATATGTAGGGCTATGTCATCCCCTTTCGTCATTGTTTAATTGTTTACTCCACCCATCTGCGCATGGGACGATGGGCATATTCCTCATTTCAAAATAATTGTGCCACATCTATGGCACATAAGTGTGTATTTTACCATAATACATATTTAGTAAATCACTTTAATGTTCTTAGTCTTTTGCTTTGAGAATCAATAGCATTGTGAATCTCTCTAAAAGAAATCTTTGCATTAATGATTGTTAATATGACAATTGTGATTTATACCTCAGACGCATGCTGCAGGTAAAATACTTATTACAGTGGAAGTGTAAATTAAAGAAACAGAAATCAATAACAGCAAATAAAACAATAAACAGTTAAACCATAATGGTAGCACTCAATTTAGCTGTAAATGCAAGCCACTGGAAACTCAACTCTTTTGTACAATTCTTCTTTGTTTCTAAGACATTTAATTAATTTATTGAAAACACGAGGCCTACATTCATAATACATTTGGTAGGTATTGGGTACTGTTAAATATTTAAATAAGTTTGCAGATTTTTAAGGGGACAAATGCAATCTAGAGTACTGTCCTGATAAACTTACAGAGGGAGCTAGATGTTATCTGTCAACAAAAGTGGCCTTTGTCAGATCCAAAAGGAAATGGATAGAAGAAGGTGAGAAAAACTAATATAAAATAAACATTAAAGAACAACTTTTACCAAAGACAAGACAAGTAATTATACATAAAAAATTTCTATTGACAGTTTTCATCAAATATTTATTCTTGTGAACAAACGAGAAAAGCATCTTACTTAAATATCAACAAAAATGTAAACTCTAACAAGCCACATAAAAATTAATGCTGAACAATGTTTCTTTAAAATAAATTGATAAAATTATAAATAAGATAATAAATGCCGTGGGAAAGGCACAGTACAATGAATTCTTACCATAGTAGAATATTTTATTAAACACTAACTTGCTGTATTTCAAGAGCCAGTAAACAACAAGCTACTATTGAATTTCTTAAAAGTATTAGTACCTCAGAATGACCCATTTCTATCTACATAACTGCGGGTCCCCTTACATGGAGGTTCGCCATGTTGCGCCGCCATATTTCTACAGTAGCTGAAAACAGACAAACTGCTCTACAAAGTGCGTTTTTGACACTACGTTTTCCTTCTTGTTGAATTTCGACAGTGTAAATGCTCATCACTACGTTAAATATGTACGTTTGAATAAGAAGAAGTAATAATATACAGCAGGGGTCGGCAAATAAGATTTGCATCAGAGCAATGTTTTTTATCCATTAGATCGGTAAAACGCACGGCTCTCACCTAGAACGTTGCGTGTTCGAGAGAATACATTTTTTCCCCTCTTCAACGAATTGATCATGAAGCGATTGTTTAACATGCTTACATTAAGCATGCGCTGCAGTGTGTGCATTCATCCGCATCCGCATCCATCAACCTACGGACACCTTTTCATTTCCTCAGTATCTCCAGTTAGAGAAAATTTCACTTATTTTCCTAATGGCTATTTCAGAGGTGTGTCAAGCAAGCCACAGACTCTTTTTAATGTCGTTCAGAATTTTTGGAAAAGTTTTGGATGAATGTTTACAGTATTATGTGTTAATGTAAATGTGTAAATGTTATATCGGCTATTTTCATTAATCCTCTATTTAAGGAAATCTTGAACAGCTTCAAAATAATTTTTACGATACCCAGACTTGTTATAGGAAGAATGGTGTTCTTTTTCATTGCCACTCTGATATTGCACTATGTAGCATTTGAATCATTTGAATCATTTGAAGGACCATGTCACACACCTACAAGACTTTTCAGCAAGCTAGCTATAAAAAAGAAGCTACCTCAGTATTTTATCATGGTAGAGGCTGCAGAGACCAAAGACAACATCAGACATCTAAAGTTAGCTGTGTTGGCTAGCTTGCCACCTAAGTTTTACGCAACATTATGTAACTTTTGTACCATAAAATAACAGCTGGTGTCATGCCAGAGCTGAGTGAGTGGGCACCATATCTGGTCTCAGCAGCCTCTGTGTACATAACGTTAGCTAACGGCAGAGGCAAAGCAACCAAAGAGGACGTTGACAGAGGAAGTTAAGAAATAAAAAAGACAGTGTCCGAGCATGATACTGCCAGATGTTGCCAAGAGCTTTGTGAAATAAAAGGCAGCATGACAGAGGCCTGCTGACATTCTTTCTGTTGGAATTGATGTTGCTGTGTTTTGTGCTTTGTGTGTGGGTTCTCACACAGGCTCCGCCCTCTAGTGGACTCTATGGGTACTACCTCCTCCAATCACACGCACGCACTTGCCCACTGAAATTTTATCGTGCACGTAGCCGACCAATAGGACGTCGCTACCGATACGTGCGTGATGTATAAATAGCAGTGTCCCTACTGCCTCAGCATCCTTTTCTCTTCAGCAACTGGCGAACTGCTCACTGAACTCACCACCTCCATGGATGGAGTCGCCACTTCTAGAAAATTATCTTTGCATGTCCTGCCCGGACGAGTCCAGGCCCCCACACCCCGCCAGCCGACTGGGGAAGGGAGCAACTGGCCACGTGATCATTATGGAGGGAGCGAGGCCTCCTGACACTGCCACAATCCCCCGTCTGGTGTTCAAGACGCCATTGTTTTACATGTGCTGCTTGTATAAAACTATGGTAAGGCTTTTGAGAATGTGGAAACCGTTTTTTGAGTAAAACATGTTAATTACATTCCTCATAGAGCTAAGTTAACTTCTCTCATCAAAGAGCTAACGTTAACTCCTGGGCTGAGGCTAAGGGTTTGCCCTGCGGCCTTGTGTTCACGAAGCCACTGTTCTAACATGTGCTGCTTGTGTACACTGTGGTGATGCTTGTGAATGTTAAACTGCTTATTAGAAACACATTACATTCTTAAAAGTGCTAATTCCCCACCACCAACCCCATCCCATTGAGCTAGCCATGTTGAACGCGCCGCTGCGCTCACCGACGCTAAGCTAACGGTTCGCCCCGCAGCCCAGGCCGCTCTCCCGGTCAGAACTGAGTGAGAGGGTGGGTGAGGCCTGGGCGTCCACTTCGCTAGCCTGTCCGCCAAGTCCGCGCGGCCATAATGGTCCGCTTCCACGACGTGACAGCCGAGAAACAAGCTGTTCTTACTGTGGAAACTTGGCAATGCAGCAGTCTACTGTAACTCTGCATTCCCAGCGCGCCCATGAGGACTCGCACGGGCGCGTTGCTAGCTCACCGGCGGTGAAAGTGTGTTACATAAACAGACACACCGCCCTGCCAACATCTCTTTCACCGAGCAGTCACAGCGCAGCTAGGCTAGTCCGCTATAGCCACAGAGAGACAGCCAAAGTCAGGTCTCTCTCTGTATAGCAGGACGAAAGAGATCGCTCGCTGCTTCGGTTGGTTTTGTTTCCTCCACGAGCGGCTCGTGGCGCCTGTTGCAGCAGGCGAGGCTGTCTACCCTGCCGCTGCTTCCCATGGAAGCTGTGAGCTTGAGGCTGACGTCAACACTGGGTGATGTGTCAACCACAGTCACACCGGCTGTGGTGCGTTCAAGGCCCAGTCGGCCTTTTTGATTGCAGCCCTTGGAAAAAGCCTTATTATTTATTAAAAAAATAATAATTTAAATTGGTGATAGAGGGACAGAGGCTGATGCACACCACCAGACCTCCTCCATCCGTGTCCAGCATGCATTTATTTGTGTTTCATGTGCTGCTTGTGTACACACTGAAAATGCTGTGAATGTTCAACTGATTAAATACAGTACATTCCTAAAGAGCATTCTCCTCCCCACCTACGGCCCACACTGCTCTCCTTGCTAAGCTCTAGAGAGACAGTGGGAGGGCCTGGGTCTTTGCTGTGCTATTCAAACCACTGGGACAGAAGCCCATGTCCCAGGTCGCTCTCCTGGTGGCGTCCGAGCGAGACGTTAGTAGGACCTGGGCTTCCTCCTTGCTAGACGGCTGTCCAGCCCGTGCTACAGGACCCTCTACCGATGAGCCGGCTGCTGAGGCAGTAGGGACACTGCTATTTATACGTCGCGCATTGGTCGGCTACCTGCACGATAAAATTTCAGTGGGCAAGTGCTTGCATGTGATTGGAGGAGGTAGTACCCATAGAGTCCAGTAGACAGCTCTGCCTGTGCTTATAGAACTAGGGTTACCATATCGTAACCTTCATTCTCTCTGGGTGCTTGGTTTCCTCCCACCATCCAAAGACATGCAGACTAAATTGTCCTTGAGTGTGAGTGTGACTGTTTTTTGTCTATGAGTGGCTCTGCGATGGATTGGCGACCTGTCTACGGTGTACCCCGTCCAGGGTGTACCACGCCTTTCCAGCTGGGTTTGGCTCCAGCCCCCTGCGACCCTGTACGCGGGATAAGCGGTTGACGATGGACGGATGGATGGACATCACTTATGATCAAACAAAAATTGGGCAAAAGGAATTTTGGAGACACCAATTAACATACCCTGCATGGTGGGAGAAAGCCAGAGTACCCACGCGGACAGCATGCAAACTCCACACAGAAAGGCTGGGGCAACCAGGGTTTGAACCCACAACCTTCTTGCTATGAGGCAACAGTACTAACCACTGCACCACTGCGCCACCCTATAAGTCTTGCAATCATAACAAATTCACATGTGCAGCTGTCTGTATTTACAACGGCACTGAATTAAATCAAAGGGTAGGGGCGCCAAATCACAGAAAACACCAAATCTTACATAATGTTGCTTTAAAATACAAGCTGAATAAAATTAATTTATATTTACTAGAGTTACTTTTTATGTCTTGGTGGTTCCCCTACCCATGATAGCTTTCTTTGTGTTCCTCTCTGGTCTCAGCAGGATTATGTAACATTTCGGTCCAAACAAGGCTACCAAGAGGCCAAAACTGGAGGCCAAGATGGCAAATACCTCCACTGCGTCTGCATATTTGCCTGGAGAGTTTACATAAGCAGGGACAAAGGCCACCCACACAGCACAGAAGATCAGCATGCTGAAAGTGATGAGTTTGGCCTCATTGAAGTTATCTGGAAGATTCCTTGCCAGAAATGCCAACAAGAAGCTAAGGATAGCCAGGAAGCCAATGTAACCCAGTAACACTGCAAAACCAATTGTGGACCCTACAGCACACTCATAAACTATCTTGTCATTGTGGTATTGAGTGTTTTTATGAGGAGCTGGTGAGGAAGAGACAATCCAGGCAGTGCAGATTGCTGCTTGAACTGATGTAAGACCTAGCACAGTCCCTCTCTGCTGCACAGCACCAAACCACTTCAGAATGGCTCCACCGCCTGGCTTGGATGCCTTGAACACAGCCAGAACCACCATGGTTTTCACAAGAATACATGAGACACAAAGCACAAAGCTGATCCCAAATGCTGCATGTCTCAGCTGGCATGTCCACAGCCTGGGACGTCCAATAAACAGCAGTGAGCAAAGGAAACATAGTTTAAGTGACACCAAGAGCAGGAAACTCAGTTCTGAATTGTTGGCGCGTACCATGGGTGTGTTACGATAATAGGTAAAGATGCACAGGACAGCAGCACAGATAAATGTGCCCAGCAATGAGGCAGTTGTCAAGCAGATACCCAGAGGCTCATGGTAGGAGAGGAACTCTGTTTTCTTAGGAACACAATGGTCACGCTGGGGGCTGGACCAGAAGTTCTCTGGACAACTGATGCACTCCATGGAGTCTGACAAAAAAGGGAAGATTATTATTTTTTTCTTTACAATTGTTACCTTTTTTCACAGCAAGGACAATTTTCTATTTTTTGTGGCCCTTGTTCCTACTAACTTTAACCGTTAGCCTGGGGAGAGTGTAGACAGGCATAACAGACACAAACTTTCTTGCGTATTCCCTCCATACAGCCACGTTAACTAGTTGCTTGTGCAGAACCAAATACATTGTCCCTGCCACATGTGAAAACTGACAGCAGTTGGATGGGCCACTGATGCCTTGAACTGTACTCGTGATTCTGCAGGTTTTTGTGTATTTTACCTGACCATAAAAAAATGGAAGATTCCTAATAAAAATTTATATAGCCATATACGTGATATAACATATAGTTTTATAATAATACCAACCTGTTTCATTGCTGATCTTTCCCTCAGAACAAGGGACACAGTCAAAACAACACACAGGCTTCCCCTTTTTGCCTACCAAGCGGGTACCTGGAAGACAGCTCTCACTGCACACTGACTGGGGTGGCTGTAGGGATTATAAGAGTTATATCACAGTTATTTACATTTATATTTACATTTACTCATTTGGCAGACTCTTTTATTCAAAGCGATGGTTATTCTACACTGATTGATTCTGTCATTGTGTGTTATACAGTACTAAAGTAAAAACAAAAATAAACAGAAGAAACCTGTTTTGAGTCAAAGTTCCAGAAGATTTTGTCTTCATCAAGTGTGAGTTCTTCACCTTTCGAGGTCGACTTCTTAACAACCCCCACACTCTGAACCTTAATTCTTCCATCAGGGAGCCACTGCCAGTTCATGATATCATATATTGGTAAGGCATCACCATTCTCATCAAATGACACTTGATCGCCAAATGGTGTAGTGAAGTTTACCTTTTCCAAGTAATGCATAAGCTACAAAAGGGTACAATACAAATCAACAGTTTGACAAGGAGACTCAAAAAAATATTGTACTCTTGATTGGGCATATCCGTTCAGATGTTCTATAGGAAAGTTTAGCTAGATTGAATCATGCTAGTGTTCAAATGCAGTGCACTTAAAACATGAAAAGTTGTCTAAATCTGATCAACTATGATCTGTTACCATTAATTATCTTTTTCACAGCAAGTGAAGGGAATGTTATTCTGTCTTGTCTTCTACTCAAAGACAACCTGGAGATTTAAACTTGCCTACTAATGCCATCGTTATTAATGTTTTCGTTTCCCACAATCTATTACAGGAAACATCTCAAGATGTAGTAGCTGCTTAAAAACTAAAGAGTTGGAGTGTAAATTGATACCACACCTGCCATGGCTCCAGTGTTTGCAAAGTGGCACAGCTGTGCCCGCTGAAAGGCCCTCTCCCTGGCACACAGCACAGCATGTCATCGAGAGCATACGCCAGAGCGTACACAGCCTTGTAAATATTGTACTCTGGCCTGAGGTTAGAAACATCCAGAAACTCAGACTCCACATTCTCTAGGTCTTCATTTCCAGTGCATAATGCTCCTCCAGCTTCCATCCAGCCTGCTGGAGGCGGGTGAAATCTACACTGAAATGTGAATTCCCAAAACTGCCTAACCTGCAATGTATTTAAATCAAAGTCTTATCAAAAATCACAATATTTCATTATTATAATTGATCTGACTGTAGGTTAAAATCTTACCATGCTATTGTCACTATAGCTGTCATATAGGTGAAGATGTATTCTTAACAGAAAGTCCCTAAGCCCTGGTATTTCTCCTCGGCGGATGGCAATACCCAGTGTGCCACCCAGGTACGGCATGAGGTGAGGTGTCTGGAGCACAGCAGCGGCTGTCCAGGCTTCACTGGCCATCCACTGCAGTCCTGTCACATTCTGACTCACCACCTATTCATTGCATTTTATTGAATTTATATTTTCAGATTAATGCGTAAGAAATATACCTTAGAACCTCAATAAAAAAGCACAGTCCCAGTTAGATGCCTTTTCCTTAAACTGTCCTTGTGTGGCTATTTTGAAAAATAGACACAGGCATTATGAGCTAGTTCTAAGCTGCTTTGATCACACATACAAATATAAATGTTTAAACTTTTGTCAATATGGACATGCTATATATTGTAAAATCGATTAGATTCTCCACTACTCAATCGTTCAATTAATTTTATGGTAACAATCGAAATATTTTTCATTCATTCAAGAGAGACAAAAAAAAGTGGTGAGTCACTATCTTTGAAGCAGTACTGGGCTTTCTTTCTCTCTTTCTCTCTCTCTCTCTCTCTCTCTCTCTCTGCATGGGGTTGGCTTAGATGCACAGTATCTCAGAGCTAAATCAAATTAATGATTTGTAATTGATAAGTTATACAAAGTAATATTCATACTGGTTAACATTAATATTGGCCCATTTTGAGTGCACTAAACTAGATAGATAGATAGATAGATAGATAGATAGATACCTCTCCCATTAGTTGAATCATGTGGATCTGATGTGCAAACACAATGACCACACGAGCTGTGGATTTCTTCATCACTTCCACAATCCTTTTTAGTTCAGCTGGGTTGTCACCCCAGGGTAAAATCTCTGAGTAGGCTAGGCAACCTCCACCAGATTGAGCCAAGTCCGATTGGAAGGATCGGGCAACATGGAGTCCATAATCATCATCACTAACCAGCAGACCTGCCCAGGTCCAGCCAAAGCGTTTCAGAATCTGAATCATAGCACGCACCTAATTGAATACAGAGTGGAGGGTTTAGTGTACAAGTTTAAATAATCTTTCGGTGGAAACATATCTTTTCATGTATCACAACAAAATCACAGTTTCCTGTCTTCTAAATCCATGTGGTTTCATCACTGATGCACAAAGCAAATACAGAACTTTTCAGAACAATATAAAAAATGTGCTTGATTGGGGGAACGTTATTTTAAGATAATTACACTCCTTGTTAAACATATTTAGCATTTGTTATTCCAAGAACAGCGTTTCACCTGGAAAGCATCACTTGGTATTGTTCTAAAGAAGGATGGAAACCTCTGGCGATCAGTCAGGCAGGAACAGGTTGCAAAATAACTCACCTATAAAGAAACATACAGTACACAGTACAGTCTTGCTTCTCATTAAACATTCAAATTATTTCACCTACTTAACAATTCATCATTTTAAAATCTAAAATAAAAAGAATACTGCTTACCAAATAATGTCTTGCTGGAGAAAGTGGAGCTGAGATTTAATGTATATGTCCTGTTCTATCATTTTAAAATTTGAAATTCATCAAATACAGCACATCAAAAGCACAGCTAAGACTGGAGGAAGGAAACTTACAATGGGCAATTTGAATAAACCGATCACATCAGAGGTGGCAATAGAAAATGTCGAGAAGGAATCGCCCACAATCCCCAGGACGGGTGGGGTCCCCAAACAGTTCTCTTGAAGAAGAAATGTCTCCTCTCGACCACTGGCCAATGTCAGTGCAGCACTGAATCCAATTACAAGTGTGCCACAGTTGTCATAAAGACTGTATCCCAGAGTCACATTAGGTAGCAGATTGGAATTTTTGTTAATCTCATCAATAGCAAAGGCCATAGTCATAGCATGCCTGAACCCTGGAGGGTCAAAGCTAGCACAAAAATGTCACAATTAACCACTAAGAAGTACTATATTCTATTTACTAATCGGCACAGATTTATGCTGTCTGATGTAATGCTTACCCTTGGCAGATTAGCTGATTTGGCTCTGAGGTGAATGTGAGCTCAGGGAAGACAGAGGTGTAATGGATTTCAAACATCCCACCCAGAATCACATCACCAGGCTTGTGCATCCCATTAAGAAAAAACTGTCTCCTTAATTTACAAGATGAGAAATGAGAGGTAGACTCTGACAAGAAAAATGAAGGAAACAAAATCAAGATCCGGTAGACATACAAACACAGAAATGCTCCCATAACTGCCCTCCTACCTACACCCCTGTTTCTTATCTTCGTGCATAGTTATTTAATTTATATGCAGGGTGAAATATAATCTCCAGTAGTGGTTATCGTCATAGTTTTACACCACCCATCAGGGAATGGGCAGTTGTGTAGGGGCAGGGCATACACATAACAAATAAGCTCTACAGACACAAAATGTCATGATGACATCTTTTATGTGCTGTATTTTGTGTTCATCACTTCAATGTTTAATTATTTTACCATTGTGAACTCGGCACTCATCTTCAGTTGATTTTCCTCAAACACATGAGATATGGGAATTATGTTGAATGGAATGATTAATCGTCCTTTTTTCTCAAATACACATCAAGGGGAAAACTATAAATGTACAGTGGAGTGGATTAAAGATAAACAAGATCAAAGCAATACAGCAAAACCTACAGAACAATTCTATTTACTATGACAACATTTTGTAAAATTTAAGCAATTCTTTGAAATTGTGACAATATCATGTTTCTTTTAACTGTATGTTTTGATGTGTATGCAGTGTTGAGTGGGGAATTTTTTACTAACCATAATAAACTCCTTTGGAGAGTGGATTCTAAAAATCTGTTAAATTAAAAATGCTGTAATATGGATTACAGTAACCCTGCCAGTTAACAGTACAGGGCTACTGTATAATAAATACTGTATATAAATCAATAGTGCAACATGCTAGCCTATTTGCTGATTCCCTTAGCTGGGTGTGCCGTCCCAGCTAAAATTAAGCATTTTAAAGCCATCGTGTATCAAAAACTTTATCACATTGGCCCAGTCCATTAAAAATCTGAACATGGTTACCCTGATCCCTGCAAATGGCACAACCTTTGGATTATGGTTCTCCCACACTGTTTGGGAGGAAATATATTGTGGGCTATGGGATTCTTTTGGGAGTTACCTCTATGTGGGAAGCTACAGTTGTGACATGAGAAAAAGTTTCATCATATGTCTACCCATAAAACACAGTTCATCAAGTAATCGCTCCACCCATTCCTTGCACCATGGCTTCACTACTATGATGGCAAGCGGCCATAGTGGGAACTTTAAAGGTCCCAGATATAGTATGTGCCAAAGTAGTTGGCCACCCATCAGCAAGGACTCCAGGGGCATAAGCTGTTCCGCAGGGAGTCTTCAGAGGGATCACTGTCCTGAGCCTCCTTGTGGTAGCTTGCTCCCCCTGCCAGAAGGAGAACAGGTTAATACTTTCTGCCAAGTCCCTTTCAGTTCTGTGTTATGACCCGCTATGTTTATCTAGTTCACATTTGTGGAGTAGTACAAGTTTCCCAATTTCGTTTACCACTCTTTGTGCCCTATGGGTTCAGTTAAGAGGGACGAGGGAATGTGTCAAACTCTTAGTGGCCAGCAGACAAAGTTCACTTCGGGCAGGCCAGGTTTTTCATCAAAGCTTGCACATTTGGACAGGTCTTAATGACATAGGAATAGCAACCAGCGGCATAGAGCCCCTTTTGCGCCAGCATCTTTCCCATTGGGTAGTGGAGGCTATTGTACTGGCTTATAAAAGCTATGGGCTCTCCAGGAGGCCTGCAAACACATTCTGCCAGGGGTATGATTACTTCATGGGCCCTCTTTAGGAGCATTTATTTAAATCCAAAAACAATTCTTTTGTTTTACAGCTTGGACAATTTGGTCAGTCTTCAGTGTGGGTATAGACATATATAAGCCTGTAGAGATTGTATCTGCCCTCTTGAGTTGATTCATTATAGGCTTGGGAACATACAATTTGGGATTGGGCCATATCTCCCATAGTGGGATACTGAACGAGGCTTAAAATAGAACATTTGGTTATTGTGCTTAAGAATACCACGTATTTGAGCTATTATAAAAAGAGATCTGATTGTAGTGTAATGTTATTATCAGTGTGAATGTTTCTCTCTGTCAGTTACCAAATTAGTTAATTGGAATAATGAAAATATGCTGGTTGTCCATTTCACTTGATGACTATTAAGTAAACCAATGGGTAATCATTTATTATTGATCTTCACACTGCTTGACTAACTTTAAGCAGTGGTGCACCTACTGTGGTCCAACTAAAATAGTCCTGTTTACTCATTGTTGGCTTTTAAAAGTAGTACATAGAAAGAAAATAGAAAAGCAATTTCGAGAGACAGACCCTGTCAGCTAAATGGACTGTTGCAATGTGAGCTTCTGGTAAGGTTTCTACTCTGACTGTAGAATAGGCTACTGTAGCGTCTTCATATGTATGATTGGATGTTCATTATACTGTATCACTATACAGAAATTGCATTAATAATTTTCCTCAATGGATTTGGAGTGTGCTGTCAAAATCTCATTAACTGTCAATTAAATAGATTTTTTGTTCATTTCCCCAGGAGTATGCTGAAGTAAATGATGAATCAAAAGGTAAGTGAGTTACTGGTCAGACAGTTGAACACAGTTGAAATTTTACAAGTAAACAATAAAAGAGAAATCAGGCAATAAAATGATGTAAGATTCAGTTCTTTATTAACAGCTTCATTCTGTTTCATCTCAGCCTGGTTTATTTTCTTTCATGTAAAGTTTTAACGTCGAAAAGAAAGTTACTTATAATGTGGGTCCGTTAAGAGCAGATCATTCTTAAATTAACCTAAAATACATACAGTATCATAAGTGCTGCCTTATGTCTTGGGTGTGGCTCGACCCATGATAGCTTTCTTTGTGTTCCTGTCTGGTCGAAGCAGGATTATGTAACATTTGGGTCCAAACAGTGCCACCAAGAGGCCGAAACTGGAGGCCAGGATGGCAAATACCTCCACTGCATCTGCATATTTGCCTGGAGAGTTGACATAAGCAGGGACAAAGGCCACCCACACAGCACAGAAGATCAGCATGCTGAAAGTGATGAGCTTGGCCTCATTGAAGTTGTCTGGAAGATTCCTTGCCAGAAATGCCAACAAGAAGCTAAGGATAGCCAGGAAGCCAATGTAACCCAGTAACACTGCAAAACCAACTGTGGAACCTACAACACACTCATAAACTATCTTGTCATTGTAGTATTGAGTGTTTTTATGAGGAACTGGTGAGGAAGAGACAAGCCAGGCAGTGCAAATTGCTCCTTGAATAGAAGTAAGAACCATAACTGTCCCTCTCTGCTGCACAGCACCAAACCACTTCAGACTTGCTCCACCTCCTGGCTTGGAGGCCTTGAACACAGCCAGAACCACCATGGTTTTCACAAGAATACATGAGACACAAAGCACAAAGCTGATCCCAAATGCTGCATGTCTCAGCTGGCATGTCCACAGCCTGGGACGTCCAATAAACAGCAGTGAGCACAGGAAACATAGTTTAAGTGACACCAAGAGCAGGAAACTCAGTTCTGAATTGTTGGCGCGTACCATGGGTGTGCTGCGATAATAGGTGAAGATGACCAGGACAACAGCACAGATAAATGTGCCCAGCAATGAGGTGGCTGTCAAGCAGATGCCTAGAGGCTCTTGGTAGGAGAGGAACTCTGTTTTCTTCGGAACACAGTGGTCGCGCTGGACATTTGACCAAAAGTCCTCTGGACAAGTAGTGCACTCCATGGAGTCTGACAAAAAGAGAAAAACTATTAAGATACAGATCTATATTATATACATAAAGGAAACCTAGGGTGCTTTATAAGATACACTGACAAGACTGAAATGTACCTCAAATTTGTTACAAGGGATTGATATTTTCCAACACTCAACAGTCCTTGTCATTGTTAGTTCCTACTATTATCTTGGGGGAGGGAGTAAACAGCCATATGTCACCTCTAACGCACATGGACTCCTGCCAACTGCTTCTTTTCCACCAAACAGTAAGGGGCTTAACCAGCTACAAACCAGTAGGAGTCGCTATTTTAGCAACAAAACCATTATGCCTCTCACCTGCAAACACTACTGATTATATATGTTAGGGCACTAGCAAAAAAAACTGTTTTTTTTGTTTGTTTTTCTTCAAATTAATAGCAAATTGATAAATTACATTGTTTTATAGATGATACCAACCTGTTTCATTGCTGATCTTTCCCTCAGAACAAGAGATGCAGTCAAAACAGCAAACAGGTTGCCCCTTCTTTCTGGCCATGCGAGTACCTGGTGGGCAGCTCTCACTGCACACTGACTGTGGTGGCTTTAGGGATTGTAAGAGATATCATTGTTCTACAACATTTCTTGCTGTTATGTAAGTCATCATTGGGCAAAAGTCAATAAAATTATTAAGCAGAAGTAACCTGTTTGGATTCAAAGTTCCAAAAAATTTTATCCTCCTCAAGTTTGAGTTCTTCACCTTTGGCTGACTCTTTAACATCGCCTACATTCTGAATCTTTGTTCTTCCATCAGGCAGCCACAGCCAGTTCATGATGTCATAGATTGGTAAGGCATCACCATTCATATCAAATGATACCTCATCCCCAAATGTTGTGGTGAAATTGACTGCATCCAAATAATACACCAGCTTCAGAGGGGTAAGAGAAATTCACTTCAGTTTCATTTATATATGCCAAATCATAACATCTCAGGGCACTTTTCACATAGAGCAGTTCTAGACTGTACTCTTTATAATATAATTTTTCAGAGACCCAACAATTCCCGCTATGAATAGGCATTTGGTAAGAGTGGCAAGAAAAAACTTCCTTTTAACAGGAAGGAACCTCAGGCAGTACCAGACCCTGGGTGGGCGGCCATTTGCCTATACCGGTAGGGTTACGAGAGAGAGAGAACAGGAGGAAAGAGAACATACAGTATCACAATGCAAGTTCACATGGAGATTTAAAATAATAGTTAAATTACATAGTTACTCCACAGCTTAAGACACTGCACTGGCTACTTGTATTTTTATAAAATTTGTATTTTTAAAATAATTTCAAAGTTATTTTACTTGTCTTAAATGACCAACATCAGAGATCTTCATTCATGTAATGTTCAAGCCAGATCACTAAGGTCATCCACCGCTTTTCTTTTAAATCTTCCTTATGTGTCCCATAAAAATACTTTTTTTATGCCGCTAAACGGTGGCAACACTTTCTCACTTCAAACTTGTCATTTATAGACGCATGGTCAAAACCTGTCGGCATCAGTTTGTAATGTACTGGGGATCCCCACAGCGTGATAATTCAACGCAGTTTGGTTTTTAAATTGCTTAAAATCTTTTCCACCCAGGCGTTAAAGGCGATGCCAAGGAGTCTTGGCAAGGGTCCATATGTGACAAGTCGGGAGTGAGACTGTGTTGGTGGAACACATTGCCTCTGGATATTAAAATGAAATGAAATACCTAAATCTGTCCTTTAGTTTGGAACAATGTTATGACGTTGTTTTAAGGTTTTAATTGTTGTTTTTTACATTATTTTCAACATTTTATTGTTTCATTGTTGTAATTTTCAGTCTTGCAAAACTAGATCTATTTTTGTCTATTTTTGGTTTTATTTTTGATGTTTTATCTTGCTACGTGAAGCACTTTGGGCTGCATGTTTGTGTGAAAGGTGCTATATAAATAAATGGGGTGTTAGGTTTCTCCTTAAATAAAGAACACAGAATAAATTAACATTAAAATCTTTCTTTTTAGGATGCCTGTTTATTGATGTCATACTAAGACAGTGTCTTTATTCAAAAAGTCCCTCTGATGAACTACATTCAGTTAGCTGTATTTGAAACCTCACAGGTGCAAATGAGTGTAAACTGATACTACACCTGCCATGGCTCCAAACTGGCACAGCTGTGCCCGCTGAAAGGCCCTCTCCCTGGCACACAGCGCAGCATGTCATCAAGGGCATACGCCAGAGCATACACAGCCTTGTACACATTGTACTCTGGCCTTAGGTTTGAAACATCAAACAACTCACTCTCCACATCATGCAGATCCTCCTGTCCAGTACATAGTGCCCCCCCAGCCTCCACCCAACCTGCTGGAGGTGGTGGAAATTTACACTCAAATATGTCTTCCCAAAACTGTTTTACCTGAAATGTGATAAAAAATTCAGTGTTAACAGAAATAATTAATATATTATTGCTGCAATTTCAGGTCATATTTAAGATTCAGCTCTCACTATACTATTTCCATAGATGATATGGTGTTGGTTAGGGTGTATTCCTAACAGGAAGTCCTTAAACCCCGCTATTTCTCCTCGGCGGATGGCAATGCCCAGCGTGCCACCCAGGTATGGCATGAAGCTGGGCGTCTGGAGGACATCAACTGATGCCCAAGCTTCACTGGCCATCCACTGAAGACCTGTCACATTTTGCCTCACCACCTGCATATGCATTATAAACAAATATTTTTTTCAGACAACTAAGGCACAAATAAATGGGATCAATGTAATGTCACATTTTTATAATAAAAAATAAAAAACGATAGGTTGGAACTTGACCAAGAGTCCATATGTGACTTGGTCAAGCGTCACATATAAAAGCTTGCAATCTAATTTAAAAGGTTTTGCAAGATTGAAACTAAGTTTTGAAGGCTTGCATAATGTTACAGTTTCAAATTTGTCACTGTTCTCCTTGTGTATTAGTTTGTTTTCCAGGTTTGAAACCTTGTTAATGTGAAAACTGGTGTGCATATGTTTAGAAAAAAGTTTTGAAACGTTGAAATCTAAACTTTAAAAAAACAAAACATATGTTTATAAATCTTTGAACCCAACCTCCTCCATTAGTCGATAAAGGTGTATTTCATGTGCAAAGACCATGACCACGCGAGCTGTTGATTTCTTCATCACATCCACAATCCTCCTCAGTTCAGCTGTGTCACTGCCCCAGGGCAAAACCTCTGAGTAGGCCAGACAACCTCCACCAGAACGAAACAGGTCAGATTGGAAGGATCGGGCAACATGTAACCCATAGTCATCATCACTAACCAGAAGGCCTACCCAAGTCCAGCCAAAGCGTTTTAGAATCTGAATCATAGCACGCACCTAATTTGGACAAAGAATGTGTTTTTGAGTAATTGTAAGATTCATATTTGAATGATTTAAGCATTAGTCATCTCATTCTATGTATTTTCATTAATGCTGCTCAAAATACATATTCCCTGATGCCCCAAACATCCTTTGTTTCATTGAGGAGACTTATTTTTTAAGTTTACTATAGTTCCTGTAAAACCTTTTTTGCGGTTTTTATTTTGTTAATAGTTTCACCTGGAAAGCATCACTTGGGATTGTTCTAAAGAAGGATGGAAACCGTTTCCGATCACTCAGGCAGGAACATGTGGCAAAATGACTCACCTGAAAATAGACATACAGTTTGCACTGTGTAGAGTAGCCTATCACACAACTCATCCATTTCAAATAGTTAACCCAATTCAATAATTGATAAATATTTAATATGAAATTAATTGATAAACACAGAGGAAATGTAAGCTCACCATGGGCAGTCTGAACAAACCTAGCACATTGGAGGTGGCAATAGAAAATGTTGAGTAGGAATCACCCACAATCCCCATAACTGGAGGGGTCCCCATACAGTTCTCCTGCAGCAGAAACTGCTCATCCTGACCACTGGACAACACCAAAGCAGCACGGAATCCAATAACAAGTGCACCGCAGTTATCATAGAGACTGTATCCCAGAGTCACATTAGGTAGCAAGTTGGGGTTCTTGTTGATCTCATCAACAGCAAAGACCATTGTCATGGCATGCCTGAACCCTTGAGTGTCAAAGCTAACACACAAAATGTCTCTATTAACCACTACAAATGTTGTCAGAACAGTATAAAGTATAGTATATAACTATCTTATCCACATTACTACTTTATCAAAACATCTGGTATAGATAATTAATTTAAACTTAGAAGTAAAAATAGCTTGATATCTGATCAAGATCCATTTTAAAATACATGACACAAATCTCAACACAGATCTTTTATGTTACTTTCTTAATATTTTGAATACTCTGAACAGACAAGATTATTCTTAAAAGATGTATGCTGTTTGCTGTATGTATGTGAGACATACCCTTTGCAGGTGGGCTGATTTGGCTCTGAAGTGAAGGTCCACTCAGGGAAGACTGAGGTGTAGTGGACCTCAAACAGCCCACCGAGAATCACATCCCCAGCCTTATGTAACCCATTGAGATGAAACCGTCTCCGTAATTTACAAGATGAGGAAAGAGAGGAAGACATGGGGTAGAAAAAAGAACAAGAGAACAAAAGCAAGACCAAGTAGACACAAAAGTATATGTCAAAAAATGTCCCCATAACTGCCCTTGTCCCTTAACCCTGTTTGTAATCTTGATGCATGGTTAGCTCTTTTATATGCAGTACTATGTCATCCTCTCTGTGTCCTTTTCGTCATTGTCTTTCACACCACCCATCAGGGCATGGCCAGTAGTGTGGGCAGGAAAAAATACACCGATTTCTGTACAGATGCGTCAGGATTAAACAATAACATATATTAAATAATAGTTTAATTGGTATGCAATATCAACAAATATTTCAGATATAAACAATAAACCATATTACGTGTATTTTGTAAACTACTATAATCATTAGGTCCTGTTTTTTTTTTTATGTGAAAATCAAAGCCCATTCCTAGCCCTTAAATGTCAATAAGATAAAGAATCTTGAAGTTCATGGAATTAACTTTATTTATACTTAAATAATTATTTTACTAAATACTTGAATATATTTAAATAGTAAAATAAAAACATAAAAAATAAGAAAGACAATTACGACAAAAAAGACAAAAAAAATTTAATCCAGTTTTGGAACATTTAAATAAATGTGTCAAATTCTGTTAAAAGTACTCAAGTTCAGTATATGTATGTATATGTGCATTTTTTGAGCAGGTATATTGGGATGCATTTGTGTCTCATCAAAAATACTTGAATATGAGATGGTTGGTTTATTTTTAAAAGAATGGTTTATGGATGAACAGCTGTGTTGAGCCCACCATAAAGACAGAGGAGACCAAAGAATGCAAGCAATCAAGCAGTATATTATCCCACTGATCCCCACATGGTGTGGAGTGGAATCAGAATCAGAATCAGAATCAGTTTTATTGCCAGGTATGTGTACACATACGAGGAATTTGACTCAGGATTGTACATTGCTCACGATGTGCTTACTTATACAATAATAAAATAATAATATAATAATAATAAAATAAAATTAGACACAAACTACAGAGTAGACAACACTAATATACACACTATGAACAAAACATTATAGACATATTGACAAATAGTGCAGTAATCAGAGTGCAAAGGATGCAAGAGTAAACTATTCTCATTATATACATGTTGAAGGTGGATATGATATCCAGGTACACATACACGCAAATGTAAATTCTCCGTATTTGTATAGCGCCTTTCTAGTCTTTTCAACCACTCAAAGCGCTTTTACACCACACGATAAGAGAAAAACCTAAGTGCTCAAACAGAAACCATTCACTGGCGGAACAGCCACCAGGGGTGGTTCAGGGTTCAGCATCTCGCCCAAGGACACTTCGACATGTAACCAGGGGGAGCCAGGGATTGAACCACCTACCTTCCGATTAACAGCCAACACACTCTACCTCCTGAGCCACTGCATTCATGCATAAATGTACACAGTGTGATGGAGCATAGTGCAGAGGATGCTGGAAAAAATAAATAAGACCTATGACCTTGTGACCTGAGGTAGGCGTATTGGTATACAGTATATACAATATGACATAGTATGAACATAGTATGAACAGCACTGAAATAGAGAATGGTGAATAAATAAATAATAAGTGGAAACCAGTAAACAGGTGCTGATTAGAGACAGAGTTAATGGGTTATTGCACAGGAATTGTTCCTGACACTGTGAGTCAGAAATCAGCTGTTCATCAAAGTGATGGCTGAATGTGCTTGAGAGTGGTCAAATCAATGGATCCTCTGTTCTCATTAAACTAGAGCTACATGTACAATGTGTTGCCTTCATTGTCCATTCTTCTTTTTCATATATACTTTGGTAAGTTTTATTTTTGTTATTTTTTATGTATTTAAAACTGTTATGATTAATGTTTAAGGCTGGGTACCAGACTGCGATACTTTTATGGCACCGACCAAATTGCTTCGATAATATCGAGTATCGAAAAAAGTCCCTTGCACAGCCTTGTCACTGGGTTCCAAATTCCAATACCTAAAGATTAAGTCTCATCACTATCAGTGAGCCAATAAGCATACAACATTCTTCTACCAAGATCTAAACATGCTGGTGAGTATGAAAATGTTATTTTTGACAGTTATATATTTTCGATTTATTTAGTCCAGTACTGTGCAAATATTTCATCAGTTTCTTAATTTTACTCAAGTTATCCAGATTGAGATAAGTGTGCAAAGTAACTTTGAAGTGAGTAATTGTACCATGATTAATTGCATAATGTGTAATGTAATTTTTTTTTAATTATAAAATTGGTATAGAAAAAAGTATTGGAACTGGTAGTAGAGTAAGCCTTTAAATCAGCACTGTATTTGTATCTTCCTTCAACGGTTGTTTTGTAGGTATTTTTTGTAGGTGGCACGTTGCTTTCAGAATTAGGTGTTCCTATAATCTAGGATTAGGCTTTCCTATAATCATTATAAACTGCATGGCTTTGTCATGGCCTTGTTTAACATCCATCAGACTCATCAGTGCTGTTTTAACATGTCAGGCTAAATACTCAATGCTTCTCCTATTGCTCAGACTAACAAATATAATTTGTCAGAAGATGGTTTGTTTAGAACTGCAAGTGTATAACAGGCATTCTCAACTGTTAAACTCATATTTGCAGTTAAACCAGACTATGGAGCAGCTGAACTGACTTTTATAACAGTGTTGTTACATGTTTTACTCTATCGTTTCTCTATATATTATTTTTAAATATATCACAGTGGAACAAAACATCTTGTGATTTATTTAAGAAAAGATTAAACCACACAAACAACACATTTAAGGTATGAATGTTTTAGGCTCAACTGTAATATGAGCTAAAACCAAGGAAGAAAGGTGTATGGGTAAGATAAAATTGGGAACCAAATTAGTTTTACAATGACAATGATAAGAGAAGAAAAGAAAACAGATAGAGTAGTAAAAGATAAAGTAGATTATTTATTATATAAATACAGCTCATAGGAAAAGGCATAAGGACATCCTCTCTCTGAATACTAAGCTGACGTACAGCAGAAGGAGGGAAGCTTTTGTATGAAAATCTATATAAACCAGAGAAGATACAAATACAGTGTACCAACTTGAGGGATGGAGATCTCAGCTCTCTTTATTGGCCAGATCCTGTCTCTGAGTTTGTGTGAGCTAAACACAGTTCTTGCCTTGGATCGTTCTGGATATGGTCTGAAACAAAGGTCTGGTCTTACAGAGAAGAGGACTTGTCCTGGAGTCAGCACTAAGGACTCATCTGTAAAATGTAAACTCCAGGGTACTGGTCGTCTACCTGCATTCTCAATGGATGGTGACTACGTTGTTGGAGGAGTTTTCTCCATACACTACTACATGCACACAGTCAAGCATAATTACACGACCATGCCTGAACCACTAAGGTGCACAGGGAGGTTAGTAAGGGAGAGATGCCGGGCATAAGAGGATGTTAGACTGTGTGGGGATAGAAATGTTTACAACATGTTGCAAGTCTTTTGTGTAGGCTATTGAAAACTTAAAAAAAAGTTTGGTATAAAATACAAGTATTGTTTTCACAAAAATAGTTGAATGTGACTATATTACAAAAAAGCATTTTTGTATTTTTGAAAATATAGCTGTGTTTAAACCCATTTTGTAAATATTTAACATGAGAAAAACTACTGAGATGCAGGCTACAATTTTGGTGAATTTTGTACTGATATCAATCCCTGTGTTTTAAATTTTGGTGTCCAGTGTCCGGTAACCCTGTGGTGTCAGTTTCACTTTAGTGTGTTTTTGTTGAAATTGTTAATTGTCCTTATGTAAATTTAAAACAGTGAGTGTCTGTGTGTGTGCAGCATTGACTCCCGTGAACTGCGCTTCTCGCGCGCAATGGTCTTCGCCATAGAGGAGATTAACAACAACACAGAGCTGCTGCCAGGCATCAAGCTCGGTTATCAGATCCACGACTCGTGCGCCTCAGTGCCCGTGACGGTGCATGCCGCATTCCAGCTTTTAAATGGCATTGACCCCGTGTTTTACACCGGCGACAATTGCTCGCAATCTGGTATTGTGATGGCTGTCGTTGGTGAGTCTGGGTCTACGCCATCCATCAGCATGTCGCGCGTCATCGGGTCCTTTAACATTCCTCAAGTAAATATTTAGAATTTCTGACAAATTATTTGTATAAAGGTCTTTGCTGATTTTTTGTCATTCCCGTTCATCCATTTTCCCCTTTAGGTGAGCCACTATGCCACATGTGCATGCCTGTCCGATAAGCGACAGTACCCGAGTTTCTTCAGAACAATCCCTAGTGACCAGTTCCAGGCTGAAGCGCTGGCCAAGCTTGTAAAACACTTTGGCTGGACTTGGATAGGTGCTGTCCGCTCGGATTCGGACTACGGAAATAATGGCATGGCGTCTTTCCTGGACGCAGCACAGAAAGAGGGGATCTGTGTGGAATATTCTGAGTCTTTCTATCGGACCCACCCACGTAGCAGGATCCAGAGAGTGGCTGACGTTATCCGCAGGTTTCTACATCACTGATTGTGCTTTTGCTTCCTGTGCTAACACTGACCTTCTGCAAGCAAAACCACAGCAATGTTTTGTCATATTGAAAATTGATCTTTTTTTCCTATCACGTTTATTTGTTACATATTTATTAATGATACTGTTATAAAAACAGAATCAGTGAGACCAAAACTGTACATTCAACACACCAAAAAACTAAAGTATCTCTCATGTTTGTTTGTGTTAACTATCTTGATACATATTTAAAAACGTTAGTTTCATGTTTATACTGGTATAACATAATGCACTGTAATGTCTAACTAGGTCCACAGCTATGGTTGTTGTGGCATTTGCAGCCTCTGGAGACATGAGGATCCTGCTGGAGGAGCTGTCGCGTGAGCCTTCTCCACCTCGCCAGTGGATAGGCAGTGAGGCTTGGGTAACCGACACAGACATGCTGAGGTTCAGCTTCTGTGCTGGAGCCATCGGATTTGGCATTGAGAAATCTGTCATCCCAGGTCTGAGAGACTTCTTGCTTG